TATTTTAGTATTTGGCGCATCCACCGCGTTTTTTTTATTGTTTGTCCCGTATTAGTGAGCCAATTATTTTTTTCAAACTGTTTATATAAATGTATTTTAATGAATATGGACGTGAGACAGCTGCAGCCAAAACAGATCTTTAATAATATTTGATTTCGTTCGCTGCCCCAGGACGGCCCCGACGCAGCGCATTATGCAATTAAGCGGAATGCGCACGGAAAGCCTAATTTTACATCGCACGGTGCGTAAGCGTCGCGACGCCTTCGCTCCGTTCGTCCTAACGATCGAATGGAAAATTCAAGGGGATGCGAACGACAAAAATCGAACATTAATCGTAACAATATCCCGCCCATAACAACAATACGTTTTTTGGTAGAATAATATGGAATTGAAGTGGGCTGCGGTGGCGCCAATCACTGCACGAAATGGGTTTATAATCGGCGAGTCCCCTCCGATTCTTATAAATAATTTCGGATTTCGGTTCGGTTTAATTTTAGAAACGACACAGAAAACCAGATCCGACGATCCTCTAGTGGAAATGCACTTGAAAAGACCCGACTCGAGCATCGTCGGACGGCTGCTTTTCCTTTTTGTTCTCTCTTCTCGTTCCATCCTCCCGTTTCGCACTCAATCATCGTAAACGTAAAATTCGAAACGCGAATAAGAAAAATGCGACTTGCATTCATGTACACGCACACATCCGCTCACACAGACACACATTAACACTAACACCAAAAGAACACGCACGCACACGAAAACACGCTATAAATATATGCGGACGGCTGAAATATGTTCGGGAATTTATTTTCAGCAAGTAAATATGATTATTTTAAATAGAAACCAACCCGAATTGGATCTAGGCTTCGCCGCTATATTCATATGTTGCGATTCCACAAATAAACCAAATGCAAAACCCGGTTCGTCGAATAAGCTTATTTACATTTATTAATTGAAAGTCTCCGAGAACTTCTTTTTATGTAAGCGATGTATTATTCTGAATGAAATACTTTCTTTCTATTCCACTATTTGATGCCAGACGATACAGTAATAACAAAAACACGCCTTAGCTACGTACAAACAAACAGGATTGATTTATTCTAACTTTTTTTAAACATTTTATATCTTCTAGTAAATAATATTCGCTACATATATAAATATTATTAACGTTCTTAAGAAAATATTAAAAAAAATACTTTCACTATAATGTAACGATAAAAGCATTTTATAATGAAACTCTGCTTTGCATAGTGTGCTGCTTTTAAACTAGTTCATCGTCCACAAAAAAAACATTAATTATCCAAAAATACGTTACTGCTTTTATTTGGCTACTTACTTACTCCTTCAATGTTCAGTTTACATTAACTTTTATAGCTGGTATACAGGAAATTTAAAATTAAATGTATGATAATCAGCAAACATTAAATGCCCTATTATAAAATATAGTTTATAATGTATAACTAATTCATAAATAATATACTTCATATTTGTAATTACATTTTTAATATATTTATTTGTAAATGGAATTTAATTAGATTTACAAAGTTACTCTTCCATATTATCAATTAAACTATTTTAGTTTGTGTTTAGTATGGCACAGATTATAATATTTAAAATATTTTTACATTTTTAATTAATATTGATTTGATCTTACAGAATTAATTATTATTAATTAATTGTTATGACATACTTAATATTCATTTGAATCGAATTATGTATATCTTACTTAAGTAATACATTTGTATAGTCAAAACAACTTGGCTAGAAAAAAGTCATACACAATATAATTTTGAACAACTTGAACAAATAATTTGTTAAATATCCGGTTTTGATAATCAAAGAAAAATCCAAAATCAAAAATATACCAAAATAAATGGTGTAGTTTTCTATTTGTTTTTAATAAAAATCAAGTAATGATAATATTAATGAACCACAACACTAAACCAGGCAGATTCAAAATGAATTGAATTGAACAATGAAGGTAAAATGAATTTAAATAAATTCTTGATCATTGAAATAATTCATTTAAATATACTTGTATTATCATTATGAACAACAAATTGAGAAAAGCTGTTTTTATACTGACCTTGATTTATCGTCTAACTTTTATCTTAATGTAACCTGGACAAAATTAAGTTTGGCCACAAAGTGTTATCGACAACATTCAGAGAAATTCATTAAACAAATTATGTTCTTTCAAATTATTATCTCGCATCAATACAAACAATTTAATTAAAGTGTAATGTAAAGTGAATTTAACGGTCGGTCAGTATAATCTTTTTATTTATATATTTATCATATTTTCTTTAATAAACGGCGGTATATGCAAATTCGAACTGAATATGCAATGAAACACCTCTAAATGTATCTTAATTAAATATTAAGCATTTAAACAACCCCTGATATTTTTTTTTGGTCATGAATATGGTAATTAAAACTGCGCTAAGGAGTTGTTTACATCGTAATACTTCCGGCATTTTAATTTCGACTACGGTTAGCTTAAAATATCAAACAAACAAAAATCAAGCACTGAAGTGTATATATTAAAAGTATTTTTTGTATATTAAAAATACAGTATTCTGTATAAACAATCACATATTGCTACATAAATGCCTGTTTTTTGCTGTTTTATTATCAAACGATCAGGGCAGATGTATTATACATATGTATGCATAATGTATTAGTATTTTAATAAATTCCATATTTAAAGGATAATAGCAACAATATCAGTATGCATTAATAAAATATTTTTACAGTTATATAGAAATATTTTCGTTTCAATTTTATTTTTAATTATACTTATTCACTTTGAAATAACTCTTTGAAACTCTTCAGTATTTTGAATCAGTTTTGAGTTGGGAAATGGTACTTACAAAGTCGAAGCAAAGAAATATTGCCCGTTTATTAAATAGTCCGAATTTAACATATTAATTATACAAGACTATTATAATATCAGTCACAGTAATTAGTATATTATACTTTCAGATATTCGTTAATATTTAAATATTATAATTTAAATTGTTGTTCTTTTTTGCAATATAAATGTTCATTAACTTTAACAGGAGTTTAAGAAAGATTAACAAAGAAACTTGTACATGTAACTAAATTACAATATAACTTCTTAATACATATTTTTTATACTGAGAAATAAAGAAAACAAAAATTAATATTTATATTATCTCCTGAAAAAACTGTGGATGATAAAGTTCTGTTCTTTTTCAAAGAGTTCCTAAGCGAAACAAAAAGTTTTATGGAAGTCTGTACGTATTCCGATTGAAGAATCACCTTCCATAAACGTGACTGTAATATTATAAAAATACGAAATAGGCTTTTCGTTGTAGGTCATATTATTTAAAACTTGAAAATTTTATTTAGCAATAACGGCCGAGTTGAATTTCTATTACTAATAATAATAATTTATTGGCCAAACATCAATACATAAGAAAAAAAACTACATTCTATACATTAATAAATTCTAACATAAAATTAAAAAAAAAATATAATAATAGCCTGGCCAAAGGGCTAACTATTTATTGCAGAAGTCTTCAAACTTGTGTCACCACTGAATTCCACTCAGTACTAAAACATACTCCCAAATGAAATATACAAAAAATAGATCTAAATTAAGTGATTAGCATTTTAAATCGCTGCTACTTATGTCACTAGTAAACTTGAGACACAACTACAACGGTGTTTCGATACCCCTGATTTATTGTATTAGTTAAAATCACGTGCATATAATATTATTACTATATATTAATAATAACATTAATTAGTCAATTAACAATATTTATTTATTATTTATATTACTTTAGATATTAAAATTAATTAATATTTACACTCTGATGTGTATTTAAATTAAACTAAATTATTGAATCATAGGTCTTTCTGCCCGGGGAATAATAATATATTGTACATAAAAAACATCGAAAAAGAGTAAGAGCCGGAAATCCGATTCCAGACTGAACTCCGACTTTCAACTTTTTTTTTTTACATAATTTCAATGAATATTTTTATGCGAAGAGATGCAGTTTATTATGAAAAACAATATAATTTTTTTTGTCGCGTAATTTTATTCACAATCTGTACATCAATATGAACATTGAGTAAATTTAAAATCGCGGTTTACTTTAGGTGATAATCTTTCCCGGTGGATAGTTACCGTTATGATGATTTTTAATTTTTAATTTGTAGGTTAGCTGTCGTCTTGTAGGTTAACTTCAGTAGTATATTGATGTTCTGCGATTTCACTATTTCCTTTGACTGTGAATCTGCTGCTATCCTTAACACTGCCATTGTCCATCGACTTGGTTGAAGGTCCAGATGCTGGACCTTATTTATTTCACTGTCCATATGTGACGAACGATGGCCCTATTGCTGCAAGCACCAAGACGGCTCACAAAGGCTAGGATTTAAACGTGCGCCCACTAGCTCGTGGGTAGGACGACTTAACCATTCGGCTATTAGTCGCCCCTATTTTATATAGATAAATTTGATTACTTACATTTTAAAATTCTTTTAATGTGCGAACTATTTAATAATATACTAAATTATTTATAATTTAAGTTTAAATAAATATATAAATGGATCATTGTGGTATTTTTCAACTAATTTAAGTTAATCTAAATAAAAATAATGTGCATAATCGATTTGTCTATACAGAAAAAAAAACGGAGGAACGTGTAGGAAATTATCAGGAATAGAATCCAAAATTAAATCGAAGTAGGTTAGTCAATTATTTACACGTTCAATGGAAAGGTTGGATGGTTTCCAATAATTGAAAACAAAAAATGCGTTTGATTAGCAAAAAAAACGAAACCAAAAATTCGCAAAATAAATAAAGTTAATGTAATTCTCGTTCTGATGTTCGTCGACAAAGGCGCTTCAAATGTGCTAACGTCCAGCCGAAAGCGAAAGTTATTCGATGCATATTTCGGGCAAAAATGTGGACCACAGCACAGAATAATTCCGGAGATTTTAAATTTAAGTTATGAGACACTCGTCGTAGAGACAAACAGCAAGAAGAGAAAGAGTGCAAGCAACAGCAGCTCCAAGCAAGCAAGCCAAAAATAGCGGCCACGACGAGGAACAGAAATTTGGCAGACCACGACCACAGTCCGTCAGGTGCTCGACTGCCGTCCGCATTAATTTTGAGGGAAAAGACACCGGTAACAGCTTTTTTTGAAAAGATGAGCGGCCCTTTCAAACGTAGGGCTTCCCTGAAGACGCTGCCCGCGATCGCGATCTCGAACGCCGGTGACCTGAGAAGACGTAGGTCCTCAGTGGGTGTTACCCATTCCTCCACGACTTCGGCTGGCCAGCAAGAGGTGCCGTGGGATATCCTTGACCGCTGCTTCCTTCCGGTTGTCTTCTGCCAGGCTGCTGCCATCATCATCAGCACCGTCCTCAACACCCTGCACATCTCACAGGTCACCAGTCTTACCCTCTTCATCTGGTTCACAATTAGCACTATCGCAGCCGTATTATTCTACCATAATCTAAAGGTAATACTATATTTTTCACTTTCTTAAATATACATCATCAACAGTGACGATAAAAGAATTATGCTTATATCAACTAATCCCTGACAAATATTACTTTGTCATATAAATAGTATTATTGACTCATATGCCGGTAAATGCAAAATGCCTCATTTCTATAAAACATTCACGTTATGTGAGTGCTTTTATGAATTACATTATTTTTCGGACTATGAAACAGACTCCAAATTTATGAGACAATTTTTTAGAAATAAATATTATTATACAAACATATTCACAAACTTTAAATTACATTTATTATTACTATAAGTTGTCTCCTTACTGTCATTTTTTGTATTACTGTCTGAACTATTATTACCCAAATCATCTAAATAATCTTCATCGCCATCCATCGCATTTCTTATTCATCATTTATTATAGATACCTTCTTTTGAACCAATAGGCAAGAAGATTTATACTGTTCGTTTATTTTTTTATTATTATAATTTCTAAATATTATTCAAGCATATTTTATTAACACATCAACTTATATTAATTATTTCAAATAATTTAGATAATAAATAATAAAATAAAATCAATTTAAATAACCCCACTTTATGAATGAGAGTGCTTGAGAATTGATCAATAGATGACGAAGGGCTTGAATTGATTGAGAACGGCTTAAGGATACTAGACGAAATTATTACGAATCCAGTAATTATTAGTCAAAACCAGGATAATTGTCGTTATGCGTCTACTTTAAAATCCTTGAACTGGAAATTTTCATAATCAATTTATTTAACACAATAAATTTATATATAATATTATTAAAGATAATTAGTTGAGGAATTTAAGTGGAAACTATGATAATTAAAATATAATGTGCAGGGCAGCTATATTCAGTTTGCTGTGGAAAGAGTTGGTATGTTAGTATGAATGGAAAGACATATGGTTAATAGTTGAAAAATATTTTTTATGCTGTAGAACCTTGGTTTGTTAGCAGGGCAATCCCGTGCACAACATTTGGGGGCGGTAATTTTGCTTCCCACTCAGCCCATTTTATGAAGAGGTGTGCATTATTGTTAGTAGCTTACGGGCTAAATCTTAGAATTTAATTATATGCAATGCTTAGTAAGGGTTTGTCGGTTTTAAAATATCGGTTATTCTAAATAGAAAAACGTTCTAAAAATCTTAAAATGGATACTTTAATCTGCTACCTAACTGGGGTCTACTAGGTCCACGATATATCTACCCTTCCGTAATCAAATTTCGAATTGGTATCTCTTTTCATTTTTTGTTAAAATTTCAAAACCGGTTTCGTATAAAAGTTGACATTCTAAAACCAGTTTTACCGACTTTATAAGGTAAATATATACATTTATATATACATAAATGTATACATTTACCAAATTATATCGGTATAAGTTAAAATTAGTAAAATAATAAATATGAGATACACTTGTATATTAAGGTTAAAATGTGTGATTAAAATAATTTATTTACTATTATTTTATTTAAACACTATTTTCTGACAATATTAGTTTAAACGATTATGTATTATTTATTACAGTTAAATTGCACACAGAAAAACGTTAGTTGCTTTTCGCAGCTCCACATTTTTTTCTATCGTTTTATTCTACAGTTTTGCATTTATTGCAAATCCTTGTTGTCATCACTACCTCCCTCCCTCCCTCCTTACACTGATATATTTCAATATTAGGAAAATCATCAATAGATAAGCCCTGTCCTACCTATACAAGTACTGAATAATGATGACTTTTCGGAATGATTGTTAAGAAACAAATAGATATATAGCACTGGCAACCACAGCATCCATGGATGCTGTGTACATTGAGTCTCATGTGTAACCATGGACGGACCACGACCACTGATAATTTCTTTGCTGCAAGAAAGTAGTAGTCGTTAGGAATTTCTTGAATTTAATTTTACTAATGAAACAATTAAATGTTAAACGTTCAAAATTAACAAAAAGAAATATACAGGTTTGTCTATATCAGAGGTTCCCAAACTTACCTGATATTGATTTTTTGTAAAATTATTATTTATATTGGGACATGTTTATGCGCGTATGCTTGTAACAACATGATATCATTATGTGCAGATTCTTACAAGTTCAAAATGTATTACGACTACAAAGTGAATGAAAACATCCTACAACTTACACAATTTTAAAAACATATATAATTTTTTTTTTACTACATAGGTACTTTTATAAATAATGTGTATATCTTTATATTATAAGATAGTATAATGTAAATAAATAGGTACTATCAGTGTATGTTGAGATCCACTATTGTGGACCCCCATTTTCATTTCATGGACCCCCAATTTTTTTTTTCGCAGACGTAGACCCCTGGGGGTCGATATAGACCACTTTGGGAATCACTGGTCTATATGACGTCATTAGGTACATGTATACATTTCCCGGAAGTAGTGGGTTAATGTAAGTTTACCGACCAATGTATACATTTACCGATTATGTACTTTTACCGTAACATAAGTATTTTATATCAATTCTCCTTAAATTAAATAATTTATTAAATAGTATTTTTCAAACTTTTATTAGTAGACATTTCGCCATATATTCCAAACTTATTTAGCAAGAGTGTAAAGGGGAATACGGGAATTTTTAACATTTATACATTTTCTTTTGTCTTAAAAAATAGATAGATCAACGATGATATTCATTTTTGTTGATTTTTGTTTTCGTTATGTAAAATATTAAGGTATAATATAAATCATGGTGCAACTGATATTCCATCTGACTAAAAAAGATTGAATTAGTTATAGCAGATTATGTTGTAGGTTGCAGGTTTTCCTTTTATTTTAGTAAGTTATATACATATATTATATAAAAAATACCGTAGTCGAGAATATTATGGTTTGTACTAATGTATTGTTATTAAATTGTAATTGTGAACTGGGCATTTTCAGGCTACATAGTGCTTAGATGGCACATCATATACCCTCCAGCGTCGACCAAATTTTCAGCAAACGAATGCGGTTTTCAATGCTATATCACTTTTTGTCGCCATATGGGAGATTTCTCTTTAATTAATACATAGCTTTAATTAGTGTGTAAAATAAATTAATATACACAATTCTGTTACGCGTATAACGACTAATGTGTCAATGCTTTGTGCTTAGTTCAGTCATAAATTGAACGTGGGTGCCTGACATAACAATTATTGTTTCATCTCGCCCCAGTCCTGTCAGAATCAACTAATTAACGCCTCACCGGGTTCGACGTTCACACAATGAACAGCGGAAATTTAATGAGACTGAGATTTTCCGGAAATGCATGCGAGTGAAGTATAAATACAGTGAACTGCCGTTTCACCTGTTCATCTTTCAATTTTCCGATTCGATAAATAAAACGCAACGCGCTCGGTTCGCCCTTTGTGTTTTAATATTTTATATGAAATCGAGTGTATTTTATTATCATCAAACTCGTCTCCCTATATTTTTCTCTTTCTCTGCCTCGAACTTTTTCTGTCTCTCATTCTCTCTCTGTTTTAATAAACATACTTTTCGCAAGCGCCCTTTGAAGTTCTCCGTTCTATTTATCTTCGCCCTCGTCGCCCCCCTTCCTTTCCACCGCGTATTATTCCCATCTCGGCTTTTATTAAAATTAAACCAATGTTATTTCAAATAATTACGTTCTTCCACCGTTAATTCTTTTATCCGCCGAACGTGAACGTTGCATCAAGCTCATAGAATGAAGAAAAATAACAGAAAAAATAAGAAAATCCAACAAAAAAAAATTTTTACTGAGTTGAAAATATTTATTTTATCTAATATCGATGACATCATTTTTGTAAACATTTTATGCGTCATAAGAAACTCTTGAAATACACTTTTCAAAATATACAAACTTTGTTCCTAAATTGAACTTTCTATACTGTTCTGTTTATCAATGAATTTACTTAGCTGTTAAATAAATAAATATTACATAAATTAATAAAAATAACACTTTACTAACAATTCATTTAAACATATTAGATCAAGTAGAGGTTATTTAAATTATTTAATAATTGTAGTTCATTAATTATGAACGGATTAAAAATATGTAATTTGTAAAACTACGTAATAAAATTAATATGTATACATTTGAAATTATTTCATTAGTGTTAATTGATGAGATATAAATCATTAAATATGTAAAAATTATTATAAAGCTAGAACCTCTATATATGTCATGTCTTTGCGAAATAGGACAACACAATACTCGAGAAATGTTGCCAAACTTTTCCAATAAGCAATTCAGATACTCGAACAACATACCTTTGGGATACTGCTTTCTAAACTTTGAGTGTTATTAGCACAAATCAAAGATAGTTCTCTATTGTTCGCTATATATTCATTGGAATGTGTAATGGCACAATAATAGAATTGAGATGATTTTCTTGAGTAACAAAGTCTTTACATCATACGCATTTATAGAATACAAATACTATTTTAAATCAACCAAACTTATTATTTATTTATAAATCTTTATTGGTTCCAGTTTCAGTTGATAAACCACCGTTAAGTCTTTCTGACTGGTTTTTTGTATATTTTGTGGCCTTTATATAATACAAAATAACATAACTTTATGAACAGCACTAATACATTTATATTGATTGAAAGTTTGTTAATTCATTATGTATTTTTATTGACCATAATTTGGGCTAATTTAGAGATACTGAATAGCTTACAATTAACATTTAATTTACGTTAAACCAATATACTGTTGTTGTTTTTATTATAATTTATCAACATGTCCCAGGTTAGACAAAACATTAAATACAATGGGCAATAATTATAATTTATTATTTTTTTTATATACTTTATTAATTTTATTTCTTATGCACAATTAAATTAATAATAATAATTATTATTGTAACAAATCATACTACATGCTCAAAAAAAAAATATTACAAGAAAAAAAAACAAATTGATCTGCAACAAAGGACTATTGACCATATGTCTTTTTGCTCTAATTATATTATTTTTTTAATAATTTGAAATTCTCTAACAAAATAAGCTATTAATTGGCAATCTGAATACATAAAAAATCACTTAATATTGCGTATTTTAATTGAAATGAAACTAATAAATCTAACTTAAATAATAGTAATAAAATATTTAAGAATTATAATTATATAAAATAATTTGAGAATTATCACAAATACGTTATTATAATATAAATGGAGGTATTAGTCAAATCTCAAAGGTATATCAAGAACTGTAATTCATTTCAGTCTTTAAGATATAGATTTCTAGCTAAAACTTTTGTATAGCAATCCAGTTTATATAGATTTAGTGATATAACTTGTTTGGATAAATTAGTTTATCCGCAATTACTTTCTAATTAATACATTAATAAATTTAGTTTTTTTTAATTACTTAAGAAAAAAATATAATACGCCACCTCGTGATATAATTTTAAATAAACTACAACAATATATTAATATCAATTATATACTTAAGTAAAACGTATTTATTGCTTTAATATTACCTGACATTTTAATTGTAACAAAATAAAATCAAATTTAATTAATATTATTAAACATAATATTAATTGACAGTCTTAGCTCCAATTTAGAAATTTCAAGTATACGCTTTCGTTAAATTCCTATTATTTATAAAAAAAACTTATTCAATTTAAATATTTGATACCACTAAATGTCATTGCAGTAGCTGGTTAATAAGGTATATAATAAAATATTATTATTATTAAATTACAACGTTGCCAAAATATTATCACTGAATCACCTTACTAACGTCAATTGGCAAGGAATATGAACATACTATAAAAAGAAATGTGAATTCCCGAATTTATTATCAAATTAGTTTACACATTTATTTTCAAACAACACGCAAAACAAAATTGAATAATAAAAATGTCAATTAAATTAATAGTACAACAATACTTCGCATAGTGCGGCTTAGCTCAAACCTGATTCAATATAGTACGCTATAGTATAGTAAAGCAATCTATCTACCTGCTCTAGTTTATATCTTCGATTCGACTTGAGTCCGGTTTCAAACAGTGCGGTATTAGCGATATTGGTAATGGGTACTAGCCGCACTACGCAAGGTATAGCTGTAGTTAATTTTCTTAAAAAATATCTGAAAGAATAGTGCTTTGTATATGTATTTAGTTATAAATAGGGTACGTCGTTAGAATCCGGTCAAAAAAACGTTTTTTGAAGAAATTTTTAAAATTTGAAAATCGCTTTGTTTTTTCAATTAAAAACCAGTTATTTGATTAAAAAACAACATTTTGACACAAAATCGCAAAAACTCAAGTAATGGAGCGCTGACCAATATAATTATTTGCTGATACAAAATAATATATATGTTAAAATCATATTTTCTGAGAAAAATAAGAAATAACATAATATTTTAGTCATTTAGATAAATGACTCTGTTATTCATATATTTGCATGATTTTTTATGGAGTAAATTTGATTTAGTGCTAATTTCATGTAATTATATAGAAGTTTTGTTTTGTGAAATTTTATTTTGTTATTTTAAATTTTGTTTAAAGTTAAAAAAAAGAAAACAAGTTGTAAAAATCCTTTTGTCTCTATTTTTGGGGATAATTCGAAAACCGGTTTAAACCGGTTTTGTAGAAATTCGAAAACCTAATCGTACTCCATGTTTGGGTTGACGAGCTTAGCTATTTTGAGATTATGACAGTCTTACTGACATATTTAGTTAACTTTAGCACCAACTAGCACCTACACCTGAATTCAAATATAGGGAGTACTTCAAATACAAACTTATAATCGCATTATAATTTTGTGTTTTATTTGTTTAAAAATGTCTAATAAATATTATTAGCATGTTTTCTGTCAGCAACGATGTAAATACGAAATAAAAATAATAATGCGGGTCGTATAGTAATTAATTCAAATTACGCTTTGACGAAGAGCGGCTGGAGACGGACGGACGAACGGCGGAGGGGGAGGGCTTGTTGTAGGTTCTTCGAATTAAAAGAAGAAACCTGGCCCGCAGGGTTTGGGACGCGCAAATGTTTACGCAAAACAGTCTTCAAAGGCGGCGCAGGAAACCAAACCCTCCCTCTCGCCATCCGCGACGAAGAAAGTTTTCCCTGTTTATTTACGTAATCCTCGCCCTATACCTATCGCCCGTGCGTTGCGTTTCTCCCGGGTCCGTGAGGACGAGCGTTAATTACAAGCAATTCCAACTCATCCCCTCACTCTTTCCGACATAAAGAACTTTTTGTGTCTTAACGCGCCGCTTGTCAAACGACCAACGAATTTACCCAATTATTATTTCCATCCTGAAACCGAACAAAGCAGGAAATGAAAATTAATTCGCTTCTTGAAGAGTTCGCGTAATTAGGGTCAACCTCTTCTTTATACCTGAACTTTTAAATTGGCGAGTCATCTGGCGCGATCACAATTATTTTTAGATTTAAGTGCCGGTTTCTTTTTGCATTATGCTTATCCATAATCTACGCAAATAGAATACGCAATTCGGCGGAAACGAATATTGTTTTTAACACGTTTTTATTTTATTACTGCAGCTTTTGAAATAGGCGTCACACGGAATGGAACGTTGCTGTGTGGGAAGTTAACTTGTATTATTTTTGAATGCACTCGAGGGAACGAGAGAAAATGCATTTGTAGGAAATGGAATGGTACGAAGAAAAGCGCAAATATGTACTGGCTTTTTTAACTTTTGCAAAAAATATGCTTATAGAAAAGCGAATCAACTTTTGTTACATAATAAATACTATGTTCTACAGAGATATACAACAACTATACTATAGTGAATTCATACTGATCAAAGTCGTACTATGTAACATCAATTTTTTAATTAAATTACCTACTTTATTATTGTTTCAATGATCATTGTATTATTTATCCATCCGTTTAAGTATTATTGTTATATTAGATCAAAATTAATGAATAAATTTAATAAAACATAAATGTTTGTATTATTTTTTAAATGAAAGCTAGTTTAGTCTATCTAAGAGTTCAAACTGGTACTAGGTAATGAAAAAAAAACGTTGTTAGTTGATTATTCTTCTTCTTCTATGTTGTAGTAACAAATATTGCACAAAATATTAGTATTTTGACAATTTGATTAGTTACTTTATAATGTTGATCGTTTTCTATTGCAATTTCATAGAAGGAGAAGAAAAAATTAGAAATTTTATTTTTAATTATTAACTTTTTATTAATTTACATATTAAAAAATGTGTTACTTTTTCAAATTTAGTCATATTACATTATACTGTGAATATCATTTGTTAAATTTTGTTGTAAACAAAATATGTATTGTTTTCATTTCATATTTCACTGAATTGCAAATTGTATACATGCATTTCAATAAAACCAAAACAATTTCATCAAAATCAATATACATTTTATTTAAAATATTACATTTCCACTCTAATGTGTAAATAATTCAACCAACATTAATGATGTTGTTTATTAATTTTTTTTTAATAAATCAATAACACAACACAACATGTGTAGTTAATATTTTAATTTCAGATAATTTTTAAAGTAAAGAAGATTGTTGATTTCTATCTTTGCGCACATTATTTTGTACTAAATAATATTTTAGTATATTTTTAGTTAACATATTTATAAGTGATTACTGATTATCCAAAAATATATTTATTCTATTGATTTACACGGAGACGCTCAAAGAGATCAGACATTTTAATAAGAGAATATTTTTTACGCACCACTATTAACCTTTTCTCGAGAAAATATCATCTGGCTCTATATTAAGTAATTAAATTTGTAAAAATCGATTGAAATTCATATTATTCCACACTAACTATCTTATATTTATACTTGTTTTCTTTTTCTTTACAGGTGACTGCCGCAGGAAAGGCAGTTCTAATAACTGGATGCGATAGTCGAGTAGGGTATGCCCTCGCTCGTCAGCTAGATGAGCTTGGATTCACGGTATTCGCAGGATTCCAGTGCGCTTCAGACAAGACCGCGGAGGAACTGAAAGAAGAGTCCTCCGGCCGTCTGCACGTCCTGCAGCTAGATGTCGCCAATGAAACTCACATCCTTGCAGCATCCCTATACGCCGTCGAACACCTGCCAGATGGCGCACCCGGACTGTGGGCCGTCGTCCATTGCGCCCAATGGGTCGCCCTTGGTGAGATCGAGTGGATACCCCATCAGGTAAAACTTGAAAGAAAAAAAAACTTTATATAAAAAATGTAGACGCATTTAATCAATTCTCGGAACCGCTCTAATTAAAAATCATAAATCCTCGCAATTTTTAATATATTTCCTCCAAGGAGCAACTAATAAATCGGAGCGGAGGAAATCCATTAAAAAGCTTTCCAGAATCAGGTTTAACGGTTGTGAAAATGCGATAATTAATAATGTAAATATTCTCTCCTGATTCCGAGATCATAACATATGTATTATAAAAATAGGTTAATATATTCTAAAGTACTTTCCTTCCATAGAAGATGCGTGACACACTTTTCTGAAGGGTATCAGTTTTTAAACTATTTTTTTCAGAGCATTTATTTTTTTTATATATGGAGCCCCCATTATTAAAAAAAGAATATTAATTTATTAAATATTGATATGTTTTATTAGTAAATAATTAATATGTTTTTTTTTAATTGAATTATAGTTTTAGTGCAAATTAAGTAACAAACTTTTAAAATTTGCTCTCACGTACAAAAAAAACATGTTCCTAAATTTGTGTACAATCAAATACCGATATTGATGGAAAGCAATGAGTTAAATTTTAAGATTGCAGATATAAATTGACAGCTGCCAAATTTAAACGATGCGTACGATCGTAGATCTAAATTGTGTGTTAATGTATTTTAATTATTGACCTTCACTTGCAGACATATTTTAGTAAGAATAAGGAAAACCAAAAGGAAGAATTAAACACTTTTTATTGACCTCAGATTTTATAGAAATATTCAAGTTTATTTACTAGTCACAAATTAAAGAAAAAAATTGAAATTAAATATAAAATTATGTATAAAAAATATATATCAATTTGTTAATTACTTAACCTTTTGAACATAGTTGAAATAAAAAATGTGTTTTTTTTTTCTTTTAAAACACATTCAAATTAAGTTTTTATTTTTAATGAAAAAAATATGTGGTACTTTTTGATAAAGTCGGGCAATTTTAAGCTTAATACGTATAATATGTGAATTATAGTAATTTAGATTACAAAATATTTTATAAACTTATTTCATGGTATTCTACTATACAAATTTTCTTTTCATTACAACATAAAAAAATAATCTACACAGAAGTGACAAGTATTACTTGAATGTAGGTTTATACTCACTTGGTGGTTCCAATTGCTAAACAAATAATTTTTCTATACTATATAAATATTACATTACAAGTATTTACGTCTATTTCACGTCTCGTTATAATTTAAATAGTGAAATGTGCCGTACTTATATGTACCATTAGACGATAAAGGGTTAATAATTCAATGTATATATATAGTTATAAACATTTTAAAACTTTAGTTTTATTATACATTTTAATTATGAAAAAAAATCTTCGCATTTTTTTATTTCACACTTTTTTGTCTGTAATTGTACGGTTGTTACAATAAATGTTGATATTATTAATAAGTTATTTATATATGCAAACACATATACAAAAGGCCACAGTATTTCGTTAAAAAATATAAAATATGTAATCAAAAATGTTTTTAAAAAGGAAATTAACAACATCTCATATATTAATTACATTTCCATTATGAAACAAACGACAATCCCGTATAAATATATCATTTTTGTTATTTCCGCACTTCAATATTTATGACAGTACTAAATTTGAAAGGTACAAAAAATGTTAGATTAACAGATTTATAGCTATATAGATAAAACTATCAGCTCTATCTCAGTATAAATAAAAATATGATAGTTTAACTACCAATGTATATAAATTTTAAATAATGTAAGTTTAATTATAGTCAAAAAGTATGAAATAAAAAACACATTATTAATTGTAAGGTGACATTGACAATATCTACTGTCAATGTCAGGTTACAATGTGACATGTGATTTAATTATATTAGTATTTGAATAACTTACCATTTGTGTTTACGTTTTATATAGTAATTATATACATAACGTATACTCAGCAATACATTAAATGTTGATCATATTTTTTTTATAGAACATTAAATTGTTGTAAGTGGTAAAATGTTAAAATGGTGCAATTGTTATGTTGGTATTGTAACTAATTTTGGTTGAGTGCCATATATTTAGATGATACAAATGAGTGCATAACAATGTTACCAAGCCAAGCAACAAATCACAATTTAATAGTCGCTAAGGTACACCGAGGATCACATTTTAACATAGCGGAATGCCGATTACCGGTCGCGCCGCCAATTAATAACGAAACGAAATTGGAATTCGCCGCAACAACGTTACGCAATGCAACGTATTGCATATTAGTATGTTACGAGGCATATAATCAATTCGCGTGGGCGTTTAGGGGGAATGTCGCAATATACGATCCGTCCTACTAATAATACTAATCCAATTCACCAAATACTGCTGCGATTATCTTCCTTGTAACGGAAACCGAAATTTAATTATTACGCCTTTTGAATTTGTGACCTGATTTTAATTGCGAGCGGCAGGAGTCCGTACTCAGGCCTAGTTACTTTTCGTCCTCCCTTTCATGCAAACCGCTCTCGGCCCTATGTACCACTCCTCCTACCATTACATAACGAAGAATATTGTGTGTCAGTGTAGTGTGGAAGTACATAGTTGCTGTAGTTCGCTGACTCGGCTCAACTAGCACCCTCCTCTGTCTGCTCTGCATGCACATGGAAATCAATCCTCTGCCCCATTGTTTTCCCGCTCCTGTGGGGACTTGGTTTTCCTGAGCGCACCCATTTATCTGCCATACATCAGATTTCCGGGAAGGCGAAAACCGAACGCGCGAATTGTTTTGCAATTTCCTGCAGAATTAACTTTAATTTTCTAAAGAGCTTTCGAACTCCTCTCTCCCCAGCGTATTACCCCATATACTATTCTAATACTAAATTCTCAAACAAAGCAAGGTGAATTCATTTTTTTATTCTCTTTTACATTAACACTGTTGAAAACTGTTCTATCAAATTTATATTAAAGTTTCTCATGTATAGTAGACCCACAAACTTAGAACACAATCCGTTTCAGTAGATGGTTTAATTTTCAAGTTGTTAAACTTTCGGGTTGAATTTCTCCATAAGAAATAATGCAAATCGAATTAATATATTACAGATCCCCAAATTGTATACAGTATTATACATTTTCCTATTTAAAAATATAGCAATGTTAAACTATCATAAAACAAAGTATTGCTTCAGTACTACCACCATGCTACTACCAACAAGATATTGTACCAAAATGGTCAATATATAATAAAAGTAAATATTTAAACAAAAAAATCCAATATTCGAGACTTATGTTTCAATAACATTGATACCACTATCTAAAAGTTCTTTTGGTTAATTTACAATTTATTCAATTTTATCCGATAACATATATTTATTGAAATATTTATAAATTATTGGCGTCTTGGTCGAAAATAAATATTGATTTCGAATTGTTAATTATTGAATAGGTGAAAAATACCTAATACCTAATCTTTTAAAGATATCATTAAAAATATCGATCACACTTTATATGCGCCAAATGTGAAATTACAGAATCTCACAGGATTATTACAAATTTATTAGTATTTTAAATCACATCAATATAACGCTACAAATAAAAAAAAATACATTTACCGATGTTAAAAATAATAGTAGAAAAAAGGTTTACGTTTTGACTAAATAAATTAAAATACTAATCCCGAAATATCTTGGAAAGAAAATAATAATTTATACTACTTTCATAATATACAATTCATACAATTTAGCAGAGTACACGTAACGGAGGAATTTAAAACGAAGCACTAAAAATATGATATATGCATTACTGTTTCCTAGAATATTGATGGCAATCGATCACCTAGACCTCTTTACTCTAATAAAATATATGGAAATAGCACTTCAAACATTTTAGCATTCAATTATTGAAGAACATTAACATTAAACGAACTCACAAGGAACGATGTGGATATTGATAGTTCTTTTTTGATCCATCAATTATGTATTCTTATTATTTATTTTTATAACAAAACTACTTTTTAGAGATTACAATAATTATGTAAACTTAAAATGAATTAGTAAATACAGATTTTGATTTATAAATACTATTTAAAATATATATGATAATTACAAAATGTTTAAATACATAAAAATAATAATTAATTCATTAGTTATTTTGCATTTTCATTTTATTTAAGCTTATCAAATTGTTACTTTATTTTGTGTTCCAATTTGCATTGTGTTATTTATATTTAAAATTGATTTCTTTTCAATTTATATTATTTTGTTTATTGATTTTATTCGCAATTTTTGTGAGTATTTCTGACCAATAAATCATAATTGAATCGTTATTTATAAAGTGGTATAAGTACATATTTTCATATATCGAGATATTTAAGGGTTTGCGTTTGAATCGATTTAAAAATATTGGTAAACGTTAATAAAGTCGTGTGACGTTTTTACAGTATAAAACAGTTACATTTTATTATGCAATAATAATTATTAAAGAAAATACAGGTTTTTTTAGGTTCACTTTCAATAATAACATATTTAAAAAAAATAATAATTAATATGAAGAAATGTAAATCCACGATTAATCAAGTTTATTGTGAATTATTTTATATTAAAAAAATGAAAAATTTTCATAATGTGATCAAAAATTAGTAACGTCATCTTCGTCAGTAGTTGAATCTGATAATTCCAAAATTCTTATCCTCTTCTTAGTTTGGAGCAATCTTGAATTAATATTTCTCAAACTGCTTTCATCATCTGAATCAAAACTTCTTCTTGTATAATAAAACAAAATCAGCTAATATATGTTAAAGACCAGTGCACACTGAAGTAAAATCAATAGTAATTGCAATAAAAAAGTTGATTTCATTATAATTATTAGATTGACTTTTTCAAAAAAAAATGCGATAATATTTTATAGCTAAAAAATGATTACTTTATCAAGAAATCGTACTCAATTGAATCTCAATAAAATTACCATAAACTCGTTTTTTCCAAAAATGGACTTATACCACTTTCTGAA